GGGTTATTAAAAAATTATTTAGGAATAAATATTGTGAAAAATGATCAAGGAATTTACAGTTTGAATCAAGCAAAGTATATAGACAAACTGTTAGACAAGTTTGGAATGAAAGATTCAAAAACATCAAATATACCATTGGATAACGGATATTATAAACTAGACCGGCTGGAGCCTATGAAAAATAGTGAAATATACCAACAATTAATCGGAGGATTGCTATACATTGCAGTAAATACGAGACCTGATATATTGGCTAGTGTAACCATATTAAGTCAACACAATAAGGATCCGAAAGAAGTTGACTGGAATGAAGCTAAAAGAGTGTTGAGATATTTAAAGAAAACAAAACATAAAAAACTCGTATTAGGAGAACGCAGTTCAGATAGTGTACTATATGGATATGCAGACGCTGAATGGGCGGAAGATAAACAGAACAGAAAATCGAATAGCGGATACATATTCATGATACAGGGTGCACCTATTAATTGGGGATGCAGGAAGCAGAGCTGTGTGTCACTATCGTCAACTGAAGCTGAGTACATAGCACTAGCTGAGGGTTGTCAAGAAGCAATTTGGTTAAAGCAGATGATACAGGAGTTTGTGGATTTGGAACCGAGAGTAGTTATGTATGAAGACAACCAAAGTTGTCTTAAGCAACTAGAAAACCATAAGTTTAGTAATAGAACAAAACACATTGATACAAAGTATCACTTTGTGAAAGAATTGTGTAAAAGGCGGGTTTTTGATTTTAAATATTGTCCGACTGAGGATATGATTGCTGATATGTTAACCAAGCCGCTAAATAAAGTGAAGTTGGAATATTTAAGTGCCAAGAGTGGCCTGTCTGACTGATTGAAAAATAATTATGGTTGAGAGGGGGTGTTGAAATAATATACTTGTTCAACAATAATCATTTTTAAATTTGAACAAATATCTTGATCAATATTAAATTCATGTAAAATTGGAATTCTCACTCTACCATGGGCTTTTCTTGTTCCCAATAATGTAGTAAGTTTATTTAAAGAGTTCACTATAAAATCTGGGAAGTATTCTTCCGCTATTGAAGGTCTTATTAATGAAGCATAACTACCTGTGTCTATTAAAAGCTTACAAGGTGGATCGAAAGTTTCAATAAAAGGTAGTTGATTGACTTGGTATGCATTTAAAGTCAATGCTGATTGTTGGATTCCAAGGCTAGTGTCTGAAAATTTTCATCAGGGCTTTCTTGGTAATCTTGACTTATTTGATCGTCATTTATTTCTGAGTTGTCGGATATTTCTCCGAATTCTGAACTTTCATAGTTCTCAGAGGTTTCGTCTGGTTCTTGTAATTGAATTCCATAATATATTATTTATTTCCTCAATGGTGTATTTTGAAGGACCTGCATTGGGATCTGGTCGAAAATAATTTGATTGTTGGGGTTGAAAACCTCTTGAATAATTCCGTCTATTAATTTGGGAATCTTGTCTTCTTGGTTGAATAGATACACCAGACATAGGTGTCGGTTTTGTCAAGGAAAGGTTATTGTTTGGTTTAAAAGCATTTGTTTTGTTGTAATTTTTACCAGACGTACCCATTGACAGTCATTGCTTTTGGCTGTAAGTTTATTGGTTGTGAAGGAAATTGTGGCTTCACATTGAAATACGGGTTTTGTTGTCTTTGTTGTTGTTGTGTATTGTTTTGTTGGTGTTGAAATGTTTGATTATGTTTTGTCTTAAAATTCGAAAAGGAATTATTTTGATTTTTGTTAAATTTCATTTGATTCTCAGCCATCTGATAGTTTAGTACAAAAGATCTTGCTGCGTCTAATGGTATAGGATTCTGAACCATTAAAATTGTTCTAAGCTCAACTGGTGAATTTGTTATCAAATTCTGTACCGCTGTAACTTCATTTTGAGCTACAAGAATATTTGCAACTGCTAACAAATTACTGTCACACATTATTTTTGAAGTAATTCGGTGATTAAGAGCTTTCAATCTTTCTAAATATTCATAAATTGATTCCTTTTGGTTTCTTGATGCATACATTAATTCTTGAATCAAATTTTGACGAGAATAAGGATCTCCATATTTAATTCTTACAGCACCCTTAATATCTATCCATGATTTTAAATCTGGACGTGTCATCAAAAAATTTCCAGCATCATTGATAAGCTTTGATTTTATCGCAGTTATTACATATTCTTTTTGGGCAGGATCCCCTACATAATAAGTGTGATAAAATTCATCAATATTACTAATGAAATACTCCAGATATTGAGTTTCGCCACCAAAAGGCTTCAAAAGTTGAACTATGGATTTCAAATTTTCACCCATGTTTCTGTTTTGTCTTGTTGATTGAATATTAGGTCTTAATTGATATAATTGACTTAGATATTCTTCAGTATCTGATTCAGATTCAGACATAAAATAAAACTTTTATTAAACAAGTTTTACTTTAGAATTAAAAATTAAAATAATAGGATTAAAGAATGTTTTATCCAAAAATAAAAATAGATTTTCTTGAAAAATAGGTTTAAACCTTTGCAAAAGAATTCAAGAAAAATCCAAAAATAACTCTTAAATATGAAACACCAATAACAAAATATTAGGGAAAGGTTTACTTACTATAGGCTCGATGCTAATAACAGTAACACTCTCACTATTTATACGTTGGTTCTCAATGTCTCTTATGTCCAGTTAACACCAAGTGAAGTGGACAGGAATTTTCCTCAAATTTCACTCCAATGATCACTGTAATCCAGGTTTCACTGCAATCCAATTTTCACTGTAATCCAAGTTATCACTTATAGATTCAGTTCGATTGTCTTTAGTAATTCGCGGGTCACGATCTCGAAATTCGGAAAAACTTGTGCACTCTGAACACCCGGTTTTTTTACGAAAAAAACTGTAAAAATTATCCGCACGACTGCGCCAATTAAGTTTCAAATAAGAAACTTTACTTTTTTAAAAACTTTATTTTAATTAACTAAAGTAAAAGTAAAGTAACATATGAAGACTGGTGGAACTAGTTGCTGCTGCAAAGCATGAAAGCAAAAGAACAATTGTGCATGGCTGCACCGCTTTTTATAAAAAATAAATGCAAGTTAGCAATATTCACTAAAAACGTCAACAGTTGTGATGTCATTGTGGGCGAGCAATTAGTATGCTCCTTAAAACAATAGATTGATTGACTAATTAACATTAGTCGATATGGGAATCGTTCAATATATTATAACTAGCGCCTATTACTGACATAACTAGCATTATTTTTTTCTATGCTTGTTTATTTTTATTTGCCAAAAGTTGATGAAGTGTGCTACAAACAGGCTTAGGTATATTTTAAGCAGTGAAATAAAAAAATCGTAAAAAGCTGTTTTTAATCTCACCGCATACATACATTTTCCACGTAGATACCCTTATCCCTCTGAATAGTTCCTTTCGTGACTCGTAATCCGCCCTCCAGGCTCTAATCCGAATTTTATTATTTCGGAAGGAATAACTAAGCCTCAAGTCATATTTAGGTGTTAGACTCGTTGCTGGATTTGCCTCCTAAAATAAATTTCCGTGTGTTTCAGGTGGCAAAAGTTCAACACGAACTCCATCAAAAAGATTTGGATAAACAAGCCCGAAAAAAAGAAGAAATAGCGATACACAGACAGGAACTGCTGAAGCAAATCAACGAGAAGGAACGAGAAAGAATTAATTGGCAGCAAGAGAGATTCGAGGATGGCAAAGCTCAAAGAATGGACTTTGTGCTCAAAGATAAGAAAGTTGAGGACTATTTGAAGCAGAAGATTGAGAAATTAAAGTAAGTTATTTTCAAATTAGAAAAAAATTGGCGTAAATGATCAGTCTCGATCGCAAATTCTTCATATCATATAATAGAACTAGTATTAGGAATACATACCTACAAGGAATAATACAATCAATGAGAGAGTTTTTTGTTGGTAAGGTTTTCATGGACTATTTAATTTATTTTCAGGGAATGCAACGTCCCGGATAATTATGTCAAGGATATCGAACGTCAACTGAAGCTAGGAGGAAAATAAAACTAGTACCATTTTTAAAATTTTGATCATGCTGTGTGTGATACTTTTTAAGTTTACTTATACACATTTTATCAAATGGTTATTTTATTAGTAATTCTGTAATTAAAAAAAAATCTATTGAAATAACTACATTCTTAGTTTCAAATATATAAAAAACCAGCACAAGCTATACCTGAAATCAATTGAAAGTTGCAACTCTATTTTCTTTTGAAATCCTGTTTTCAAGAAAATAATTTCCCAACGACACGTAAAGCGTCCCCCATCAAAATCGTAGCAGTTTCCGATTTCCCGTCCGCTTTTCCATTTTTCAGAAGTATCCGGAATTCCGGATCAACGAGTGTGTGTGATATAAGGGACCAATTGAGACGTCAAGCCGAACCTTTCATCTCAGGGAAAAAAGAACAAGGACTGTAGAAATAAATGCGTGGAAATCAATTTTTGTGGTTAACATGAGAAAATTAATTTTATACTTAAATATGTTATAATATCAGGCAGAAAAAGGAAGAAGAGATGAAAAACAATGAAAATAGAACTAAAACACTAAATTGAATAATCTATAAATAGATAAAATGAGATAATAAGAATATGAAGGAAAAAGAAATTATCAGATGAAAAAGAAAGTGTGTTGAATAAGATGGTGACCAGATGAAGTAAGGAGCAAGTAAAAAATAAAAACAAATAAAATATACTAATAAGAGAAAAGCAAACTTAATATAGCTAATATAAAAAAAAATATATTTAATGAGGTGAAAAACATTTGTGTAGAAGCTGAAAGAGAAAGCACAAGAAAACATTTTTCATGAGGCTAACAATTTTAGAAAAAGAAAAACCTAAAACACAAACAGATACTGAAATCATGTTCTAAAGGTGAAATTTCCATTCCCCTGAACAATTTTAGTTGGTTCGGACCTGTAAACCATCCTCTCTATCTCAAAACGACGCCGTTGTATCCTCGATTCAGACCCGTCGCGACGCTCAAAGGCCGCTACACGCCCCTCTTCTCGCGCGATATACACAATCCAGTTTTCCCAAACATTTTACGAGCAATTTCAACATCAGATTTTCTCTAAAAATTTTCTTTTGAGGCAAAGTGAGTTTGATTTGAAGTGAGGAAACTAGAAAAACAATGTTTGATTGAATATTCCAAGATGCATGTTAAATTTTTGCTGTTACTCCTATTTGGATTGGTTTTCGTCAATATTGGTAAGTGATTTTAGAATCTTAAAAAAAAAAGAGTCATTAGTTATAAGGTTATTTGCCATCAGTATCTAATTTCCCCTTTAGGGAAACTTCATTATTTTATATTGTCAATATTTAAGGGCAAACCCTCAACCTTTTATATTAAACTATCCACTCACGACTACAACAGAGGATAATATGCTAGAAAATACCTCATCCAGACCCTTTTAGCTCGACCATTTTTGATTAATGAAACCTTAATTAACACTTGATGTTTGATAGGAAATTTTCTCTCTTGATTTGGATAATAATTATTATTTTCAAGACAGGTTTTTATATACCTAAATAAGTAATTTCCAATCAATTTAAATTTTGCCCATTTCCCAGGAATCGATTTTCCTCAAAACGATTTTTAAAAAGATTCAACATCCAAATTAGGTTTTTATGAGAAAAAACTTTCTCATTCCTATAAAAATGAGAAAGTTATTAGGCACCAGGTGCTAGAGAATACCGACTGGATCGCTCTGGATCGTGTCTTATTTTTATTTCTGGAACGGTATTCTGATAATGCGCATTCCAAATTGTTTCCTATCTATTTAAAGATCCAAAGTGTCTGGCATCACTAGAGACAAGCTGTCTGTGTCTACATACATTTAACTTGTAATTTGAGAATGGTTCGTGGTGTTACTTATCTTGAAGAATATAAGGGGTTTTTTCCACAAAAAAAAATAATACCCAAAGATTATTTATAGATAAATCAAATCATGAATTTTAATGAAGGATCAAACAACTCCTTTGGACATCATCAAACGGTGGTTTTTGGAGTATTTTGCTCGTAAAGAGAGAATTTCAAAAGCATTGTTGTTCTTGCAGTGAATGAGAAGATTCAACAAATGCAATTTGTGTCAGGTCAGTTAAGTTACCCCCCCCCCACTGAAAATTTTTAGATGAAAAGTTATCTATAATTTTGCTCTTATTTTGCTCCATTTGGCTCCATAAATTTTAAATTTTGCTCCATTACGCTTTAGAGACTATAACGAATTTAAGGTGGGGGGGAAGGGCTAAGGTAATGATAGCCCCCCCACCACTTTTTTTCCGTTTCTGACTGTGCATTCTTGTTCTACTAATTTTGCTCCATTTTGCTCCATTATTGAAAAATTTTGCTCCACAACCGTTCCGAAGTTACAGAGGTTTAAATAATATTATTCAGCCCCCCCCCAACACTATTTTTCCCTTTCTGACAATGGATTCTTATACTACTAATTTTGCTCTATTTTGCTCCGTTATTGAAAAATTTTACTCCACAACCGTTCCGTAGTTACAGAAGTTCAATAAATATTAATCAACCCCCCCCCCCACTTTTTTTCCATATTTGACTGTGGATTCTTATACCATTAATTTTGCTCCATTTTGCTCCGTTATTGAATTTTTTTTTTCCACAACCGTTCCGTAGTTACAGAGGTTTGAAAAATATTAATAAGCCCCCCCGCCACTTTTTTTCCCTATCTGACAATGGATTCTTATACTACTAATTTTGCTCCTTTATTGAAAAATTTTGCTCCACAACCTTTCCATAGTTACAGAGTTTTGAAATAGTATATTTCCTAACTAGTGCGGAAAGTGCCAGTTTTCCGCACGCGATTGCAGTTGAGGAAAAGAGACTTTCCGCACGAGTTAGGAACACTATTTTTTCTACGAGATAGATAGAAGGCACGTACCTCATTAATGTAAATTTTAACACCAATATTTGACAATATTTGTTTCGCAACACTTGGTATTGAAAACAAATAGAGTATTTTTTTCTTAATATAGGTTATTTTTATAAATAAAACTTATTTACCTATTTATCAATAAAAAAAATACTAATTCTGAAATAATGTGCCTTATTCTGAAGACAATAAAATCGAGAACTTTTAACAATAATTTGTACGTTTGATATACATACTATGAAATTTTCTAAATTTTTAGGCATAAAGTAACCGTTAGTTTGTAACTTGACAAGAAAAGTTAAGTTTAAACCGAAATAATTCAATAATTAACATTATTGGTTCAATAATTCTCAATGCTGATATTTGCTTAAGTGTGTCAGCTTATAATTTAAAAAGTGACATCTGTCACTTTTCCGCACCAGTGCGGAAAAGTGAATCTTTCCAAACTAAAATGCGTGCGGAAAAGCACACTTTTCTGCACGCTCGTAGAAAATAGTTATTTTCCTAACAAGTGCGCAAAGTGTCACTTTTCCGCACGCAAACACAGTTATACGAACGACGCGAAGCGGAGTTCGGATACGTGTTTGCGTGCGGAAAAGACACTTTGCGCACGTGTTAGGAACAACATTTTTCCTACGAGCTTCATATCAGGTAGGTAACAAGATTTTTTTTTTTTTTTAAACCCATAATTTGTTCAATTATTTTTAATTAACTTGAAGCGAACCTATACATTTATCAAAAAATTACCTAATAAAAAAAATAACAGAAAATCCTCGTCAGAGCTGTTCATCTTAAAGCATTTAAATTTGATGATAAAGTTTGTAGATTCTTGCATATAAATAGAGAACAAATCTGACAATGTGTCAAGGTTAATTTATATTTGGTGTTTGTATTGATGTTGGCTGATATAGAAACCGAGAAAAAATTTGTCATCATGTGTCAAAGTCGACAGGTGCACTTATTGTTGCTTGACAAGTATTTTTACTTTTCGGCACTCAGTGCGGATAAGGCCTGTATCCGCACTGAGTGCGGAAAAGTGTAACTTTGAGCCCTGGAATGCGTGCGGAAAAGTACTTCTTTGCGCACGCTCGTAGGAAATAGCTATTTATACAATAAGTTGCGAAATGAGCGTCTTTTAGGCACGCGACGTGAAAATTGTCCAACGAGGCAAAGCCGAGTTGGACAACACGTCGAGTGACTAAAAGACTTCATTTCGTAACGTATTGTATACAAGATTTTTTCTACTGGCGTTTCATAATAAAAAAACACAATTTTATTTTAATGCTTTTGCTTGACACCTTTCATGGTGGTGACTAATATTCATAATAAATACAAAACAAAATTCAAATCTGTGTTTAGTGTGTTTTTTATTTCTGAACAATGAATGACACTTTTAGGCACTAGTGCTTAATAGTTACTTTTACGCACTTGAAAGTCACTTTTACGCACTTGAAAGTCACTTTCACGCACTGAGTGCCTAAAAGTCACTTTTACGCAAAGAATGTCGTTTCAAAACTAAAATGACAATCGAAAAGTTGCTATTATGAAACGTCAGTAGAAAATAGTTATTTTCCTAACAAGTGCGCAAAGTGTTACTTTTCCGCACGCAAATACAGTTATACGAACGACGCGAAGCGGAGTTCGGATAAGTGTTTGCGTGCGGAAAAGACACTTTGCGCACGTGTTAGGAACAAAATTTTTCCTACGAGCTTCATATCAGGTAGGTAACAACAAAAATTTAAAAAAAAAACGATAATTTGTGCAATTATTTTCAATTAACTTGAAGCGAACCTATTCATTCATCAAAAAATTACATAACAGAAAAACAGAAAATTGAAATCCTCGTCAGAGCTGTTCATCTTCAAGCGTTTAAATTTGATGCGAAAGAAGTTTGTAGATTCTTGCATGTAAATGGGAACACAAATCTGACAATGTGTCAGATTATATTCAGTGTTTGTATAGATGTTGGCTGATATAGAAACAGAGAACAAATTTGTCATCATATGTCAAAGTCGACAGGTGCATTGATTGTTGCTTGACAATTATTTTTACTTTTCGGCACTCAGTGCGGATAAGGCCCGTATCCGCACTGAGTGCGGAAAAGCGAAACTTTGAGAACTGTAATGCGTGCGGAAAAGTACTACTTTGCGCACGCTCGTAGGAAAAATATTAATCAGCCCTCCCCCACTACTTTTTTTCCCTATCTGACTGTGGATTCTTATACTACTAATTTTGTTCCATTTTGCTCCGTTATTGGAAATTTTTGCTCCAAAACCGTTTCGTAGTTACAGAGGTTAAAATAGTTATTAACGTTATAAGGCTGATAAATAGCAAATAACGGCCGGGCTAAAGTTTGTTCAGGCAAGGCTGTTATTTGCAGTAATCGGCCGTGTTCCGTTCAATTTTTCTTCATATTGCAGATATTTTTCAATATGACAAAAAAAAAAAAACACTTTCCTATAGGGGTATGTTTGAAAATAACGGCTGCCGGCCGTTATTTATATTTCAACCGACTGGCGGATAAATAACGGCCGGCGGCTTATGTTCAACGGTTATAGTAAGATACCTAACAAAACAGTATAGTATGACGAAAAAATATTAATCAGCCCCTCACGCCACATTCTTCTCTATCTGACCGTTGATTTTTTCTATAATTTGAGTGCGTTATTGAAACATTTCACTTCACAACTATTTTGAAATAAAATCTACAGTTTTGAAAAGAAAAAAGGACCAGCGTTGCCACCTTTGGTAGATTTCTACTTTTCTGGTAGATTTTCAGCTCTTTGTGTAAAATTTTAGTAGACAGAATTTCTAGTAGAAAATCTAGTAGATTCTGGTAGGAGTCTGGTTCCATAAAATAGGTACGATAGAAATCCTAATATTGATTGTGAAAATAATAATTCAAATCGAAAAACAGAACATGCCCAATGTATTTTAGTGCGTAGTGTAATGTCTTGTTTTGAACTTTATTCATATCGTTTTTCTTCTGTCAAACCAAGACGGAAATACATTCTCATCAGAAATTAAAATCGCTATGACAGACTACGACGTTGTAGCCACTCCCAACTGCTTAATATTTTCGAACTTTCTCATTAGAGATTTCGTAAAGTTTGTTTCACGGGAGTTTGTACTTTTGACATCGACGCGAAGATGTCATAACTTGGAAAAAAAGGTTTGTATTATAAAGATCATTTTTTCCCAAGATAGATTTTGACATTGTCAACTTTGAAACATAAACAATGCCGCTTATTCGTCACAAGATGTCATTTGCACGACATGCATTGTAAAACTGATGTCAACCTACAGGGACACCTG